AGATGACGCCCCAACCATGTTCCAGATGATGCCCTACCCATGTATCAGATGACGCCCTACCCATGTACCAGATGACGCCCTACCCATGTTCCAGATGACGCCCTAACCATGTTCCAGATGACGCCCTACCCATGTACCAGATGACGCCCCAACCATGTTCCAGATGATGCCCTACCCATGTATCAGATGATGCCCTACCCATGTACCAGATGACGCCCTACCCATGTTCCAGATGACGCCCTACCCATGAACCAGATGACGCCCTAGCTACCCGTGCATCAGATGCCCCCCTACCCATGTACCAGATGACGCCCTAACCATGTACCAGATGATGCCCTAACCATGTTCCAGATGACGCCCTACCCATGTACCAGATGACGCCCTACCCATGTACCAGATGACGCCCTAGCTACCCGTGCATCAGATGACGCCCTACCCATGTACCAGATGACGTCCTACCCATGTACCAGATGACGCCCTAACCATGTTCCAGATGACGCCCCACCCATGTACCAGATGACGCCCTAACCATGTACCAGATGACGCCCTACCCATGTACCAGATGACGCCCTAGCTACCCGTGCATCAGATGAGGCCCTACCCTTGCACTAGATGACGCCCTACCCATGTACCAGATGACGCCCTAGCTACCCGTGCATAAAATGACGCCCTACCCTTGCACTAGATGACGCCCTTCCCATGTAACAGATGACACCCTAGCTACCCGTGCATCAGATGACGCCCTACCCATGTACCAGATGATGCCCTACCCATGAACCAGATGACGCCCTACCCGTGCATCAGATGACGCCCTACCCTTGCACTAAATGACGCCCTTCCCATGTACTAGATGACGTCCTACCTGTGTATCAGATGTATTCATGCCTGTGTATTAGACGACGCACTACCATACATCAGATGCATTCTTACCTGTATATCAGATGCTGCCCTACCTGTATATTAGATGCCTACTTCCTGTGTAACAGATGACGCCCTACCTGTGTATCAGATGCCTTCTAAGCTATGTATCAGACAAGGTACTACATATATCTCGGAGTCCTTCTTACCTGTGTCAGGGGCGGTCGGGTAGCCTAGTGGTTAAAGCGTTCGCTCGTCACGCCGAAAACCCGGGTTCGATTCCCGACATGGGTACAATGTGTGAAGCCCATTTCTGGTGTCCCCCGCCGTGATATTGCTGGAATATTGCTAAAAGCGGCGTAAAACCATACTCACTCACTCACTCTTACCTGTGTCTCAGATGGCGTCCTACCTGTATATCAGATGCTTTCTTATCTGTGTATTAGATGAAGTCTTACCTGTATATCAGATTACGTCCTACTTGTGTATCAGGGGACGTCTTACCTGTGTATCAGATGCCTTGTTACCTGTGTATTAGATGGCGTCTTACCTGTGTATCAGATGACGTGCTTCCTGTAAATAAAATGCCTTCTTATCTGCATATCAAATGCCTTGTTACCTGTATATCAGATGGCGTCTTAACTGAGTATCAGATGCCCTATACCTTGTGTACCAGATGCCTTGTTACCTGTGTCTCAGATGGCGTCTTACCTAAGTTTCAGATGCCTTTTTACCTGAGTATCAGATATCTTCTTACCTGTATATCAGATTACGTCCTACTTGTGTATCAGGGGACATCTTACCCATGTATCAGATGCCTTGTTACCTGTGTATCAGATGGCGTCTTACCTGTGTATTAGATGGCGTCTTACCTGTGTATCAGATGACGTGCTTCCTGTATATAAAATGCCTTCTTATCTGCATATCAAATGCCTTGTTACCTGTGTACCAGATGCCTTGTTACCTGAGTATCAGATGGCGTCTTACCTGTGTATCAGATGCCTTCTTACCAGTGTTTAAGATGACGCCCTACCTGTGAACCACGTGTTTAGTTCGGTCGGGAATGTTTCTACATCCATGTAGTGAAGTTGTTTTCAGGAATGTCGTCCCTGTATTATCACTGGTGTAACACAGTGACCCCTCCTTTGGTTTTGTCGGTTGAGCTGCGGGTTGATCCATTGTGCACGCAAATCCACGGACAGTAGTTATCCTTCACAACTGGGCAAGCTCTATTTCGCCAATACCATAGTGTTGCAAGCTGCAACGTGTGCGATATTAAGCTTGCATTCCTAATGTGATGCTGTTTATAGCAAAAAATAACCTGTCAGTGGCTATGCAGAATTTGCCACGGAATAACAACTAAAAAGGCAAACACGATATCGTGGTGTTAATGTTTGATCAGGACAATCAGCACGGCATAGGGAATTATATGTCGTTTGATGATTTCTTGAAATACTGACCCTTTGATGGGGCCATTAGTACACCATCAGCTACAGAGCCTGACTGGTATGCAGAACGTGTTGGACTGTGCTCTACAACATTCACGTAATCACCATACTAAACATTAGAGATAGTTATTTGTTTGTTCAAACTAGGTCCATATTGTTTAACCTTTTCTCATAAACAATGACACCGACATGATAGTGATATCACCTAAAGTAGGATGTCATGCATACATAATGAGTGTGTAATCTTGGCTGCTCTTCAAAGGAGTGAGTGAGTGAGTATGGTTTTACGCCGCTTTTAGCAATATTCCAGCAATATCACGGCGGGGGACACCAGAAATGGGCTTCACACATTGTACCCATGTCGGGAATAGAACCCGGATCTTCAGCATGACGAGCGAACGCTTTAACCACTAGGCTACCCGACCGCCCCCTCTTCAAAGGAAGGGTAATGAGTGGCTTTTGATATTGGGTAGACGCAATGCAGAGTTGCGCCCTTTTACTGTACCAACATCCTCCGTTCATGGGTTCGAATCTCAGATGATCCCCGATTGTCGCCTTTGGTCTGTCAGTACCCTACCCGTGCTTAGTACAAGTGTACAGCGTGGCGAACTTCGGTTTTCGAAAAGCGAGCTGGATAAAATATGTTTCAATGCCATAAAAAAACATTAATGTATTCAATTACTCGCTGCTCAAGGAGTCAGTCCATCATTATATTAACTTGGTCTTGCACATCCATAGTACCATATCTTCATTCTGGTAATATACACCTGTTCCCCACCAAGCGTCGTTTAGGAAGTGACAATCTCCATCTCCAACTTAGCACAGAATGTTTCTTTGGAGCTTCAGACCAGAAAGTGGTTCTTGCAGTGTAGACGTAGGTTGGATCCTAGTGTAATTTACTGTATTCTAACCTTTACCCACGCAAAATAAAAGATTTATTGGTGTTATTCTCATGACATAATAACCAGCTTGAACGAATTTCACTTTCATCAGTGATTAAGTGATATTATGGCCATCAGAATGTCATTGTGCATGTTGGAAAGTAGTAATATCAAATCATAGGACACTCTAAAGTTGGGCTGTAACTTTTATCGAATAAATAGTGATATCCCCAGATATCATTCACACTTCTTCCTCAAGTGTGTTGAAATGATATTATGCATTAGCTGAATTCATTTTCTGTAACCGCCTCGTATTTGACTCAAAAATATATTTTCCCCATTTTTCAACACGAGTATTGGTAAAATCCACTATTCTCGTAAATTATCCCAAAGCTGGTAGTTTTTGCCTGATGTCAATGTTTGTCCTTGTACCTGGTGTCACAGATGACGAGTTTCTCCTGACATGTACAGTGTTTACGGATTGTTTGTATATTTATTCGGCTATGGCCATACGTCACCCCAAACCTGTATTTAGTAAGTAAAATAGGAAACGCCAATTCCAGAGAATAGCTAGGCTTGATTGTCTGCTACTTTTCATCGGAAGCATAAGGCAATATATGGTGACAATATAAGTAGTAGGGTAGATAGGTGCTGCTCTACCGGTTTTACCTTTCAGTAACTCAACGAAATGCATAGGTGCTTTACAAATTACAAAACTTTAACCATTGCTAACATGTTGTGTGCCACATTGTGGTATTATAGTGCAATTGTGTATAGTTTGTATGTGTGTACGTTCCAGTAATACCAGCAATGTTATAACATCGTGCAGCATGTTCACAAATGAAATTTCTTGTAAAATGTTTACTATGGGCTATGTGGTAACAAATGCTCAGGTACGAATCTGAATATATTAAGGCGCCAGTTGTATATACAGAGATATACTTTGTTTGACAAAATACGTAAAAAAATAAATTTTTACCTCAGGTTTCACAAAAAACTAATATTTTCTCACTGGATGCCCTGAACAAAATGTGTTGTTGGTCAAGAATATTGTCAGCTCCTCCTTCCCGGATTATTAAATGATCAGATTATTTTCATTCGGAATTTCCCAGAACATGTACTTAATCGGCATTAATATGGTTCCCGGCATGAAGCACCAGGTGTGACCTGCGCATGGTAAAAGCTTAAATATCGTTGATACCTCCAAGAAACAATAATACATTTTGCCTTTAAACAAAGATATTAGAGAATAACGGAAAAGAAAAAAATAGCCATTAAGATATGTTTCACCACCACCCTAACCTGATAATAATATGGTTACAAACAGTAGAAAGGGTCAAACATAGCCGTTCCATCTGCGGCAAACAACAGTTACTATTGACAACATATTTGAAATGATTGTATGAGAAGTATAGTAGTTACCGTAGGGACCGACCATATGATATTTGAGGTAATGGGTGTGGGTGGTAGGGGGGCCTGGGAATTTGTACAGAGACTTCATATATTTTCAGCTAAACCTGAAAAACTAGATATATCTCTGTCATTAAAACTTTGAGCCTATATTTTTAACAAACGAACATCTTGCAGATGCACAATGCATTTTTTGTGGCTGAGATTTTCTTCGACAGTCTGAAGCAATTACTTTTTAATCATATGGTCTCTTTGTTCTATCGTAGCTGTACCATTAGTGTATAAGTTCGTGTTATTTCTCTATCATGAAAATGAATTACATTGCTTGTAAATGTTGATGTTTCTACCAACACGAATAGACAAGAACAACATATATCTCAAGCAATTTATTTCTGAACCCAAGTATAAAATTAGAAAAGAATTAAGAAAATAGCATATTCCTTCACGTTGCTGCCTTTACGAGCACTGATACGTCTTGCACGTGCAGCTAGTTGGCATGGGCATGGTAACCTTGGTGATCCTTTCCCCGTAGGCCAATCCAGCGCAGTAGGCCCACACCCCTGTCTGTTTGTAGCTGGCCTCACAACGACTAACTGTACCATAGCTAGCTTTGGCTAAACACCCATGGCTGAAACAATGAGAAAATGTGTTTAGCTTGTATATACATGTACTTTTACACAACAAAAATAATAATTTGCAGGGCATGCTGGATGTTCTGAAAACAGAGAATAAAAAGGTCGGTTCACATAAACATATACTCAAACCGTCATCTATATCACTGACCACCCTTCTTCTGGGTTACATGTGGCACCACAACTGAATCGACCCATGAAGATCCGGGGTAGAATAGGTCTTCAGCAACCCATGCTTGCCGTAAAAGGCGACTATGCTTGTCGTAAGAGGCGACTAACGGGATCGGGTGGTCAGGTTCGCTGACTTGGTTGATGGAGGTCATCGATCTCAATTGCGATCGACGCTCATGATATCAATCACTGAATTGTCTGGTCCAGACACGAAAAATCTGTTATTTTTCAATATTAATTTGCCAGGTCAACGACCTTATGGCAAATGGCGGAGCCATTTATTCTGAAACTACTGATGGTACTTATTGTTGCGCTGCCTGACGCTCGGCATTTTGGGGGAGTAGGGGTGTAAAAGCGACTTTGCTTGTCGTAGGAGGCGATTAACGGGAGCTCGTTGACTTGGTTGATGCGTGTCATCATATCCCATTTACGTGGATCGATGCTGATGTCATCAATCACTGGATTGTCTGGTCCAGACTCGATAATTTACAGACCGACGTCATATAGCTGGAATATTGCTGTGTGCTGCGTTAAACAACAAGCCAACCGACCAACCACATCTGAATCTCCCATCTCAACCACTGGACCAGAATAGGCCTCTTCCAGATGTCATAAAACAACATGTCCCCCTTATTTAATAAACGATGGGAATCTCATCAAATTACATCTTTGGCTCCGATACGATATGTCTCTACGATAAAATCTGACGTTAAGGCCTAACGTTAAGATCGCGTCAGGTGAACTCTGAGCCATCTATAAACACCCAGTCTAAACGAAGGATGGGTGGGTTCTTGCGCCAATCACATGTCAGCTTTCTGAAACGATTCGGCTTCATTCCTCTGCCATATCGATTCGGATATTTCGACTTTTACAAATGAAAGGTCACACAGAACACATATATTCGCTTCGATCGTAGACCTTCTTGGGAGTATATGCCATGGCGCTCAGAAAAGACAGTCAATATAACATAGTTACAAAAAATAAAACCATTACGTCACGCTTTTGTTAGTGCAGGTGATTCTGAGCCAAGAAATCACTTGCCATTTTGAACCTGTATTTTAAACAAGTACAACTGACTCAATTATAGGTCATTATGCTAGATTATAGATAAATTATGTATCAACCTGTTGAGTCTACTTGCGGAAACAACGGATTTTCAGCATTTCCTCATTGCATAATGGCGCGACCTGATTTATCTGCATCCGGAAATTGGCGTTTTCGTTCGTTTTCGAGATACAGAAATCGGATATGGTGGTCTGAATGCTTCGCTCCCTCATACCGAGAATTTGGAAGCTGATTGGCAGATTAGAAAGTACACCTGAAGAGACATCCCATGGGTATGGATAGAGTAAGAAATCTAATTTAAATGCGATAATAACTCATATTTCATAACGTCAGATCAAGTAAACAGAAACACAAAAATGCTTTCCATGTACATGTACATGTACCCAAAAATAGAAGATAGATTTTTCACTAGCTTATATGGCATGCCTCCCTGACTCACTATACAGACACACTATACAACACCAAACACAACACCAAACACAATAGCACCAACCCGCAGTTGTGGAAGCTGACGTCTTGGTACACAGGGTTGATGACCCAGCAGTAGTTGCTGTAGGAGTAGAAGCGTCTCAAGGTCAGTGACTGACCTTGGCATCCATCAGAGTAGGTAGCTTGGCGTCTAAATCTGTAATGATAAACATCATAGTAGAGACAGTAGATTGTTCAAGTGTAACGCACATGGACATGACATATGTACACATGGTATACATACAAATGAAGAACGTCGAGCCACAAGTCGGCATATGAGACTCTAAAAATCAAACTATGAGATGCATAAACAGTGTGACTTAAACTATGTTTTTGCATTAGGAACACACAATAATTGAAATATTATTGTGTGTTCCTTACGACATCATGCCAAACATCTTAAAAAGTGTTGAAGCTAAAACATTATGATGTTTACTATCCTCCATGAGATACAGAAAATTGAATGTGCAGACAAACCTTTCCCTAATCATTCCACACTGAAAGAAAATGTTCAAACTACACGTCTAAATCCTGTGTTGTTCGGTCCTGCCCCACGCTGAGCCATATGTTATACATGGTATGTCCTTAGATAAATGACTGTGTTAGAAATATGCCTCTGTTCACCCAGTAGTGAATGGGTATCCAGTAGGATGAGGCGGTTACTGTAAATCGTCTAGCGCCTCATTGATTGCGCACTGAACCTGAATTAATCATAATAATGATAATAATGAACATTTCTTGCGTATGGAATTGAGCATGATAAATTGTGTAGCGGATCTTTCGTGTGTCGAGTGAAATATCATGATTCTCTCATCGAGTGACGGGGAAAAAAAGATGTGTTCGAGTGACGGGGAAAAGAGATTTACCACCACACACATAACATGTCCTATTTAGTATATTTTTTGTGTAGTTGTCAACCGGAAAATTATATGACTTCATCTCAAATGTAAAACTTGAAACGTAAATACTCTCGCTACCTTACACGCAGGGGCGTTTCACCACCCCTTGTAATTGCGATCTACTAACTAGTTCCACGTTAGCAAAATGATAAAAAAATAAACAATAGTAACAAAACCATTTGTCAATTAAACTTCTTTAGCATACATTTGGATATGATTACTAGTATATACAAAATCAACTTCTTGAAATCTACGAGACTGCTGTTGGAAGCGAAAGAATGGCTTCTTGCGAAACGAATGGTCTCGATTAACTCGGGTCAGACACTTACGATAAAGGGGAGATAATGTGAGGGGAGGTAACTCTTGTACGACAATAAATACCTCCTTGTGTTCTACCTCGATGTGTAATACCTGAATGTGTAATACTTCCATGTGTAAATGTTCAGTCAAAGTGTTATGTTCACTGCAGTGAAATATCAAGTCTTTTGTTCACTGCAGTGAAATATCAAGTCTTATGTTCACTGCAGCGAAATATCAAGTCTTATGTTCACTGCAGTGAAATATCAAGTCTTAGGTTCACTGCAACGAAATATCAAGTCTTATGTTCACTGCAGTGAAATATCAAGTCTTAGGTTCACTGCAGTGAAATATCAAGTCTTATGTTCACTGCAGCGAAATATCAAGTCTTATGTTCACTGCAGTGAAAATATCATTTTTGTCAACTTCAGAAAACTTTCACACTTAGTATATAATTAATGTTATTATTATAATAATCCTGTTAATAACGTAACAAACATACCTTTGTCCATTTATGGCCATGCTCGGCTTGAGGTTGTATTTACCCTTGAATCGACCCCCAGTCCCTAAATCAAAAATGGCGGCTCTGATCTTGGGTCGCTGTTCAAGTTCGAAGGTGATGTCACCTCTGAAAAAATACATTTCGATGAACACTGCATCTCTGCATAATAAACTAATTTGTGGTACGCCATAATAATTTTGTTTGTAAAGGTAACAACTAGAGTTGACGATGCATTCGGCAATAGCATTTGGCTGTTCGTGAACGAAGTGAATGAAATAAATGAATGAATGCTGTATTTGTATTTAGTTGAGAAAAAATTGGGGTAGTGCGCTTCGCCTCTTTCGCAATATTCCAGCCAGAAAGGGTGGTAGACCACAAACATGCTTCACACATTTTCCCCATGTCCCTGGGTCTTCGGCGAACGCTTTAACCACTATGCAATAATCACAGAGAAAGGAGTGAGTGAGTTGGGTTTAACGCCGCTTTTAACAGTATTCCAGTTATATCGCGGCTTGTCAGCTTAATGTGGGAGGAAAGCCCGAAGTGATGCAGGTCTCAGACGTTTACCACCACGGGTATGGTGCTGGCAAACCTAGAAACATAATTGGCGCGAACCGGGATTCGAAACCACAATCATAGGTTTCTGGCGTGCCCAAGAGACGCAACTCTGCATAGCGAATCACGTCGCCTTAGACGACTGGGCCACCCGTGCCCCCACAGAGAAAGGAGTGTGGATGAGTAAAGCGGAGTGTTTCACTTACTTTGGGTAGTTGTAAGACAAGTGGGAGAATTGAAAGAGAGTATATGGTTCTGGTTTGAGGCCGCACTTGAGGACATTAGGATTGACAACAGGGGCAGCAATAGCAGCGTTCTTTAGGCTTGGCGACGTTGTCGGGGCGTGAGAGGGTGCAGGGAATGCATTGGGGAAATCTGGATGCGGCATATCAGGGAAGTCGGGTTCAATGGTAGCTGTGCTCGGGATAATGTCCTTTACAATATCAGAAGCTGCGGGTTCCTGTGGGAATGTTGAGCTTGGTACAACGTCGTGGACGATGGTGTTTGAGCTTGGAACGACGTCATGCACTACGTCTTTCGAAAATGCTTCAGGGATTACATCATGGACGACACTCGGGCTGGGTATTACGTCGTGAACGATGGCATCAGATCCGGATTCAGGTATAATGTCACGAACAACGTCGTCGGGATGTGGAACAACGTCGTGAACAGCATCTGAAGTAGGGCCAGACCCAGGTACGACGTCATAAACAACATCATCAGATGCCGGACCTGGTACAAAATCTACTATACCACTGTGGCCGGAATCGGGAACAACATCTTTCACAACGCTGTTCGACTGCGGGTCGTGGACAATGTCGTGGATGGGATCGCCTCCATGGACATCGACGGGGTCTTTGATAAACTCGCCATATCCACCTACAGTGGAGTGATGAGGCACAACGTCAATGACATCATCTGAGTGCGGACCAAAATCACGGACATTTCCCAAGTCTCGGGGATGAATCTGGGAAGACACGAGACTAACAAGGACAGAAACCAGGGGGAAGTATGCCTGCAACAGAAAGTATAGGGAGAATTATGGTGTCATTCAAGACATTGAAGCAGTCTTAATTTGTTTTGTGTAGAAATGAAAAGTGAGGTGAAATGGGGTTTAAATTTGCGTTCAAGATTATTGCACTAAAATAGCGATGTGCACGTGTTTACGTGTCTCTCGTGCACGCCGTTGTTATTAGTGCTAGCCCACTGAGATACCATGCCGCAGTTTATCATGGACGTCCCAATCAGACACATGAAACCGACTCCGAGCTGACCAGTCCTTGTTTTATCTGCTTCGTGCAGAGCTCCGGGCATTTTAAACCTCTTTAGGTATGATGGAACTACAGTCATTCCGCCCTACGGGCAGACGCTCTATCCACAGACATGGAGGCGGTCTTATTGGGTGAAACTCATATTAGAAATTTCTGCCTACAGAAAAAGATTTTATTTTATACAATGCTACTTGATATTCTTTACTGTTCAAAGAATAAACGATTAACCAATGATGTATCAGTGAGTTAGTTTTGATCGCTTTGATCAGTATATGTATAATTTACAACTTGTCAGCTTGATGTGTGAGGAAAGCCCGATGTGATACAGGTCTTAGACGTTTTACTACTTTGGTGACATCCACAAGCATGGACAAGGTGCTTACAGATCAATTATCATAATCAGTACGAAACTGGGATTCGAACCCTAAGAAACAGTTTTTGTTTCAATTTTCTTTGTCTCATTTATCAATCAAACTTCATTTGCATATTTCAAGATTTTAAAGCAACACTTACCAGTTCTTTGCTAAATTCACAACATATTGTAAATACAAATCAGTAAATTTCACATACATGAAAAAATATATTATTAATACTTAAATGGCGCACGGATGGTCCCGTCGCCACAACTCGCTGTGCAGAGCTGCGTATAATAAATGACTAATCTCTTACGGGGTTAGAAATAATTGGGCGAGGGAAATGTCGTCCTCTTCTGAAAAGCTGCTTCATCTCCGAACTCGCGGACATTAAGGGTTGAAACTGGGAGAAGTTTACGAAATGGTTTACATAGATCGTCGATATTTTAAACTGCTAAAGCCAGTGAGGTATTAAGTTAAATAAAACAGCCCCGCTCGTGTTTTAGGAGATTTTAAACACTTAGTCGAAGCATTTATACCTTTGATGCGGGTTTTATTCTTCACAATCACGACAAAAAATATTCTTCAAGCGGTTCATGATTTTCACGCTTCAAACATTGATCGAGACAGGGATGACTTGATACATATCTCTGTGCTTTTTCTGAATCATTTCTGAATCGACTCATATATCAACCCATTTATATATTTCTGCATTCTTATCTTCAATAATCAATTATCTATTCATGTCCATTGTTGTTTAAACACGATGTATTATTTAAATACCAGTTACCTGTATATGTTGGGGCGGTGGGGTAGTCTAATGGTTAAAGAGTTCACTCGTCGCGCCAACGGCCAAGGTTCGAATCTCCACATGGGTACAATGTGTGAAACCCATTTCTGGTATTCCCCGCCGTGATATTGATAGAAAATTGCTAAAAGCGGCGTAAAACCATACTCACTCACTCACTCACTCACTGACTCAAAGATCCTATTCCAGCAATATCACCGCGGGGGACACCTGAAATGGGCTTCACACATTGTACCCATGTCTGGAATCGAACCCGGGTCTTCGGCCTGACGAGCGAACGCTTTAACCACTAGGCTACCCGACCATCCTCTTGGAGTCAAGAATCCTTAGCTCAGTATATATAGTCATATAGTTGAACTATATCAGCACAATGTCCACCCATTCACTTATTTTATACCACAGCACGTTACATGTTTGCGAATGATCAATAAATGATAAAACGTCTCACGCTGTTGATTCTGAATTCTGTGTGCCGACGACACAGCTCTTTTGGCAATTAAAGACCTACAGAAATAATCCATTTGCTTTAAAATGTATTGTAAATTGTGGAAACTAACAGTAAACACGGATAAAACGTAGGTCCTTATCTCGGTGGTGCTAAAAAGAATTAAATTGATTTTGCAAGAAAAGTATTTAAATTTTGTGGATGAATATAAATATCCTGGTATAACTTCCAAAGCAATAATACGTTTTCTAAATTTGTTTAAACTCTGTGTCCAGGTAACAAAAGAAATGTATTTTATCTTACATACGGTACGTTTACAAAATCTCTCGTTGAAATGCAAACCCTGCCTGTTTGATGCTATGGTAAAACGAATACGACTATGTTGATGTGAAATATGGGGTTGTGATCATTGTTCACAAATTGACAAAGTTCATGTATAGATCCTCAGATACGTATCAACGGTAAAGAGAATCACATCTTTAACAATGTTCCAGGGAGAACTTGGTAGAACCCCACTTTGTCTGGATCCCCACTTTGTCTGGAACCCCACTTTGTCTGGATGTTAAGTTAAATCTCATGTCGAAGCTGATGTCAGGACAATGTAGAAAACTATCGCATGTTTTGTGTGAAAGTTATGACATTGAATATGAATCCCACTATATTTTAAAATGTAAATATTGCACTAAACAAACGGAAATGTACATTCCAAAACACTGTTAAAAATATGTTATGAAAACTATGTTACGACTCCAGCAATAATTTAACTGCCATAAAATATCATTTCAAAAGAAACTATGTAAATTTGTTAACATCATAATGAAGATTGTAAAAACTCCCGGTCAAACGCTGTCCGCCGCCATGTAAATTACTGTTTGTACCTCATGATCATATGCCGATGTACTCGGCCTGAGAGAAATGAAGTTGTTCTGTTTCTCTTCTGAACATAAATAGAGATAGCCGTGGACATAGCATAGCATAGCATAGCATAGCATAGCATAGCATAGCATAGCATAGCATAGCATAGCCTAGCCTAGCCTAGCATAGCATAGCATAGCATAGCATAGCCTAGCATAGCATAGCATAGCATAGCATAGCATAGCATATAGCGTGGCATTATAGGGTAGATCTGCCCCACAAGTATTACGAATACAGGCAACTTCCGAATGAAGTTTCAACCGTTACTATTACCAACGTTTACCGTAATCGTGTTAAGGAACACATGCAAAGGGCGCGTTATCTTTCCAAACACTATTACAATAAAATACCACGTGTGTGGAAATATACGTACTACTGACAAAAAGAATGCAGAACAACTTTACACAACATATTACTTACAAACATTGTGATTCTGGAGACACCTCCGACCCAAGCATCCACCTGCACAGCGCGGTCCAGTCAAATGACAGTGGGTCAAGGTGAAACTTAACCCACCAGGTGTCATAAAACGCTTCATTACATATGGGCCAGGACTGAAATATACAGGGATAACCCCGTCATCATAAACAGCCACGGTCAACGGTGCTTCCCGCAGAGCATCCATTCATTGTTTCACTGCTCGACTATAGAGAGTATTAACGAGAGCCCCTAAGTCTAGCCAAAGCCACGCGGTGTTTATTCATTGAATGCTATAATGACTCCTAAACTGGTTTAATGACCATAACACGGCACTGATGTCGCGTATATTTAAACTTGTAAATGGATGTATGTAGCGTTAATTTGCATATTTGCGATTTATTATTCATGGAATGCGTAATATATTCTCAACTGTTATTGTGATGCTTTTGTGAACCAACTGTCAATCCTTATAGTGTGGATATATATGATGCAACACATAATTTCATTGATGACTCGGTTTTACGTATGTTGATTAATATGACGTCTCTGTTAAGCCCTTCAATCAATATCAACTTTATGAGTGTATCGTCAGTTAGGCCATGAAAGTTTTAAAAATGCTTCTTATAATCGTGCGGGATATCATCACCATGCTACGTGGACGAGTTCTTTGCTTCATTCAAATCGGGGGCGCGAATGGCCCAGTGTCAGAGGCGCCGTAATTCGCTATGTACAGTTGCGTCCATAAGGCGCACCACAATCTATGGGTGAGGGTATGGATCCCATTTTCGCCCTGATTATGTTTCTAAGCTTGTCAGATTGTGCTCATGGGTTTCAACAAAGCGATAAATATCTCAAACCTGCATCACTTTGGGCTTTCCTCCCACATCAAGCTCACATGACGTAATATAACTGAAATAAATTTCTAATGTAAGCGGCGTTAAACCCAACCCTGTATCTGGTAAGATGGAGTGAGGGATTTCACGCAACTCCCTCACCATTCAAATGTTTGTTACATGACCTCTTACCAAAGCAATATTAGTATTTCGTATAAAAGGTTCTTTTTTAACTCATTTGGTTATCAGAACATGCGCAGAGGTGTATGCACTTCTGATGCTGTGGAAGCTATATGCAACGAATGTAGTGTGGAGGAAGATGCATGATCCAACTAAGTTTTGGGCTGATATAGAATCGCCTGTTCAAAACAATATCGCGACTTATAGTGGAAATAATAATTTTATCAAACACATCAATTTCATGATATCTACCTGTGTAAAAACATGCATTATACACATGTCAAAGGGGGAACATGTAAACAACATGCATACTCGTCATGCTACGTTAATGTAACTGTGTACTCTGGGTCTGTTCTTGAATCCCCGAATCTTTTATTTTCAGAGCAGAAAATAATTAGTTTGTCCGTTCACGAAACGATTTCATTACTATTCCTCGAAATATCCGATTTTAATGGACATTTTCTTCACAGCTATGCTACGATGGTTGCTAAAGAACCCGACCATGAGTATGATGACACAGGGCAACTCTGTGATTCGAACACACGCCCTGGGGAATCCGGTAACTATGGGACACAACTATGCGCATGGTGCAACGATGTTGCCGGTGTCCCGGTATAAACTCTCCCCCGTACACATTCTCCCCCCGGAGATTTTATACCGGTACAGATTCTCCCCCGGCGAATCTGTTCTGAAATAAAATCTCCCCCGGGCGGATATATTTCGCGCCCCCCTCAGTATAAAGTCTCCCCCCTGATTATTCGGTTTGTTGCAATGTCTTTAAGTACTATATTCTTTAAATAGTTATCTTTAATGTAAGGAGGGTTACTTTAAAAAATAGATTATGAAATATGGTCATAATGAATTGATATTTCAGAATATTTTATTTGGTAACTGTACCTTCCATCCTAAAATAATTATAAGACATAATCATACCAAACAAAGGATGGGAGACATGAGTCTCTACAGAACTTGTTGTTTCTAATACAGTTGTTGTTGTCTGTATACATTTTTTTAATATACCAGTTTGAGTCTACATGTGAACACAATCGATGGTTGAAATGTTAGTCTAAGAACAAAACATGAACTAATTCTAAAGAACTCTGATGTATAAAGTTACCTTCATCTTTGATTGACTGATGTATTTTCAATCTTTATTCAGCACTGAAGAGGCCACAGGCCTATAGTACGAAGCATTAAGTTTATGAATAAACTGTTATAAAGTATTCATAAAGTATCAGGGATCATTTCAACTTGCAAAATGATTGACATAGTCCTTTATAGAGCGAGGATTGGGCTGTTTTCTCACCCGATTGACTGACATACAACATTCACATGGTTTAGAATGGTACAATGAATGGTAAAGCATGCAAATTACTCTTTTACGCGATATTTCATAAGAAAATATCATATCTCCGTTAAAACATAAAACCAATATTTATGAGTCTACATATTGATATAAGACTTTATCACTGTATCCAATTCCAACATTTTAGATATAAACTTTCGGACAGTTCAGTTCAAAATTCTTCAACCTTTAATACATCACAGGGATTTGTAGCTAGACGACGGGAATCTACAGTCTTGACTGTGTGTGTGTTTTTTTATGAGAATGTTTCTCACCGACCTTAGCGTGTAGGGGTGTGATGTCCTTGGCAGGAAATGACAGTGTTTTGACTACTCTTCTTTCATTAATTAACGTTATGGGCATCCCTAATTAACATTTACTAATTCATGTTAAACCAACACAGGATGTTTTCTGGAAGTGGACAATCGCGAATGTAATAGGGCTGACACGACATGTGTTAATAACTGTCCTAGAACTTCTTAAGTTACTAAACATTCTTTATATCTAACGACTAATATTATATCCACCTATATACCACTTTATTGTCTCATATTGCGGTAGTAAAGAAAACACAGTGCTCAAAGTGAAGCCCTTTTCACTCCACATTCTCAACATCGTCTCTATCAGAAGTGTTTGGCAACTATTGAACTGCATGGCAAGTTATAAAACGACCGGGGGAGGAAATATTCTGGGGGGAGATTTTATTTCGTAGGGTGGGGGAGAATTTATTTCGAGAGGGGCGGAACTGTACCGGTATAAATGACACCGGCCGCATGGAACTCTGGGTTGGAGAGTGTAGTTGTCGCAGCGCGCATTGATCCGGGAACCAGACCGGAAGTGACAGTTTGGACCGTCGCTTATATCATTTCAAAAGGAGAGTTATTTCCCTTTGGAACAAAAAGATTGCCCAATAGTCAGTGTTGATAAGTCAATAATGATCGGTTAATCATCACACGAACAGTGATGATGGCGTTGAAATATGAGCACATACAGTCGTACTGTGACTCGTTTGATTGAATTTGTTGTTATTTATTGTCAAAAAAGAAAGACGATATTTGCAATTGCAATAAGCTCCCAATTTATGCATCACACAATATGTTATTGCAAATTTCCATTTCATCTACCCTGAGCCTTTTTCCAATATTAAATGTTCAGCTCTTACAAGGAACGTCACAGAAAGTAGTATAGGTAATGGTGATTCTGCCGCAACCCCACTGGAGCCAGATTTATATACCTATACTGCTACTACAGGGGGAATTTTTTATGTGTAAACGCTGATGCGATTCAACGATCGTCATGACATTAAGTTAAATTGACTCTAGCTCACCACTACCTTGAGTCAATCAATGATACCATAGAGGGACTTTTTAGCACAAAAACGATGATGAGACTAAACTAAATTGTAATGAAAATATTCTCTATTATTTTTACTCATACGCATACCATAATTTTTTAACAAAGGGATATTCAACATTCCATTATTATATATTTATGTAAGCATTCGTTTAAATGAATGTATGATTTGTTATGCGGTGCGATCCAATGATAGGAAACAATCTAATTTTAATCTCAAACCAGTTCTTTGGTTTTGGCACGGAATAATTGACGCGCTTGTGTCCCCTGTTCTATGTACTTTTTTTCTCGTCTTCGCTAATACCACTGATCTTACGATATTAAGATCGAATCTCCTGCTTTATTGTGTTGTATTTGGTGATTTCTGACAACACTGAACGAAAATCCTCCTCGGATATCTTACAATCAGCCAGTGCTGTTGAAATATGATCCTCAATGCTGTTCAACTTTGCTTCGGCGAGTATCGGGGGCACGGGTGGCCCAGTCGTCTAAGGCAGAGTTGCGTCCCTTGGGCACGCCAGAAACCTATGATTGTGGGTTCGAATCCCGCTTCGCCCCGATTATGTTTCTAGGTTTGTCAGCACCATACCCGTGCTCGTGGGTTTCACCGAAGTGCTAAACGTCTGAGACCTGCATCACTTCGGGCTTTCCTCCCACATTAAGCTGGCACGCCGTGATGTAACTGGAATACTGTTAAAAGCGGCGTTAAACCCAACTCACTCACTCATTCGGGGGCGAATATATTTCGTGACACCGGAACTACTGATGTAACTGATTTCAGAGATCTTATTAATCCTCGCAAACATTCGGATTAAATCTACTTTAAAATCTACTAAGACTGCGTACGTTTACATGTATAATCTTTATAAGCAAAGTAACCCAAAATATAGATAATGTGTATCATCTTCCCGAAATGATTAGCATGTAGAATAGATTCAAAAACATCTGTATTGAACAACATCAACCGGCATCGTCAAAGCAAAGTGTACATGTAATTATTACAATGGGGCTGGCGGTGAATATTAATGAAGAACATCTTGTTAAAAAGACACACCGAAACTGATTTGCATAACTGATGACCCCAACATATTGCAAAATATCAAAATAGTAAAAAATATACAGTTTAACCTCACACTGAAGAGAAAACAAGAACGACACAGAAAAGTAAAATAGTACGTCATATAGAACTGAGATAAAGTAATCTGAGAAGGGATTCATACGTTATATACAACTTAAAAATATATTATTATGAAAAACGAAAGGAAAGGTGGGACACCCCCCACCCCCAACCACACACCCCACACCCTACACAAGTAACTAAATGTATAATTCAGAAAAAATAAAGGAGATAAAAAAAAAATGAATAAAAAAACACATAAACAAATTAACATTAAAACTATTGGCAACTGCATGGCAAGTATTTATAAAACGACCCGGGGAGGAAATATTCTGGGGGGAGATTTTATTTCGTAGGGTGGGGGAGAGTTTATTTCGAGAGGGGCGGAACTGTACCGGAATAAATTCGCTGGGGGGAGATTTTATTCTGGGGGCGAATATATTTCGTGACACCGGCCGAGAAATCCGTGCCCCTTAAATTGTGAAGGTTTGCTGACGACCATGGGGGACACAGATGCTTACTAAACTAATATACGCTTTTATCACAGGGTCCGAAGGTCATCAATTATTTATTCATCAACTATAATTATGATGTGTTTCGTTATAAAAGACAAAGTTAGTGTGACCATAATTAATTTATTTTACAACAATAAGCGAGAAACAACAAATCCATGAGAAATACAATTCCCTCTCTTCCTCTTCTTCGTCTTCACAAGTCAACATGATATTTATCATTTGTGTAACACAATTGTCAGTGTTCTACCTGTGCACGTGACACCAGAAATGGGCTTCACTCATCGTATCCATGTCGGGAATCGAACCCGGGTCCTCGGCGTGACTAGCGAACGCTTTAACCACTAGGCTACCAGACCGCCCCACACATCCTAACAGACATTAATAGACACTTTTGAAGCAACATTTGTGTTTCGCTTAGTTAACACTGATCAGTGTCACGTTTGAACATCACTGAGTGAGTGAGTTGGATTTGACAACAGTATTTGATAATATCAAGACATTTCTGGTAAATGTGGGAGGAAATCCTGAAGTGATTCAGGCGTTTCCCATTTCAGTGCAACCCACAAACAAGAGTACGTTACTGTTACAACAAGAACCTTTATCAGGGTGAATCTGGGCTTCAAACCCACGATCATTGCTCCTGGTAGGCTAAAGGGGAATAACTCAGGACACGGAAATGCGTGATTGGGCCCACTCAGTATTTGCTGAGTAACTATTTGACTGACCTCAGAAGTGTTTGATCTAAAGTTGGGCAACCAAGAGGAAGAGATCCCCGCAGTTGGTACTGTCTATATCTATACATGTACAAGCGTGAAACGCAGTTTGCGGAGTTTAGAGACATATGTTACACCGGTTTGATACTTTCAGAGCTCCAGATTTCCGGATGAGCGACGTCCTTGCCACTGGAAGAGTCGTGTATCACATTGTCAGCTAAGTTTCCCAACGTCTCGTCTGTAACTGGAATACTGCCTTGCGAACTCGTCCCGGATGTACAGGACATTGATGAAACGTCGTCCTCATTGTCAGTCAACATAATGTCCTTGATTTCGTCGTCTTCGTCTGTGAACACAGCGTTCTGAACCTCCTTGAGAAACCTGTCCACCTCCTCCTGTCCTCCTAGCTGCCCGACCAGCCAGTCTCTGGCCTTGTTGACCACCATCTCCCACACTGACCGTTCATCTGCACATTCCAAGGTCAACCAGCAAATCGCCAGACCAGTCGCCCATACCTTGAAGTCCTTAACAAAAAGCAGAATGTGCATGTATGTACTGAACTTTATCATTAAAATCACCGACACTCTTGTTTGTCTCTAACACATAATTCAGCCCCAAGTCTATTCACCAGAAAGTCCCTTATCATACCTAGTACTTTCAGGGCAGATTATGTAGATTAGTAAACCAAATGAAGATCGGAGTCACAATGGAGTACAGCTGGTGCATTATGGGTTACAGTCTAGAGCTGGATGAAGCGGTATGTCATCACATTTCTCTGCCTCTGTCCACATTTCGGTATATAACGGAAACATGAGCATGTAGAGTGATCATTCAAATCACTCACTGTGCATACTGCCATCTGCATCAGTCTGTATCGATGTACGTTGAGAAGGCAACACAGTGCCCCAGTCAGCATCCAGGCGCCGTCATTCTCCTGCAGTGTCACCATCTCACTCGCTGTGGGCGACTCTACATAACACAACAGATCATTTCTGATACACGCAGGATTTGCACTGAATCAAAGGACTTCGTCTCTTCATAATATGTGTCAACGTCTCAAAGAAATTTATTTTTCACATGTCACAGTTTACTAAAAGTTAATTTTCAGAATACGGTTGACATCAACTAGCCTTAGGAGATGACAACCGTACACTTGTTAAATTTATGGCCATGATCCATACATATAATAATTGATTGACATGGTTTTAATCAGATGTTGATGAGTCAATGAGTTTTATAATTCAAGTCATATAGCGTCGTTTTTCCTTTATGTGGGGTGAAACCCCAAAGGTCATCACTTTAGTGATTTCCACAGGCATGGGCTGACAAACCAGGCTGCATAGTCAAAGCAAATCGAACCCGCGTTCATTGGATTCAGTCATGACGAAAGGATGCTACTCTGCAAATAAACCCTCGACGACTGTGCCGACTGGGTGTCACACCAAGTGGCGATAGCGGTCAGCTTCAGATAGAGCCAAACGTAACAGTAACTAAAATCATTGTTCCCATAAGTGTAGCTAGTGTGGAACCGAATACGAGAGCCCTCGTATAAGGCTGAAATTGTTCATCGCCTAAAAGGTCTTTGCGTTAGTAATTTTTATTGTCCCAAAAATCATGTTCCAAATAAAGCGTCCTCTGTTATCCATGCTTAACAACTGTATTGTATTATAGTTGTGTTTGTTTGTATGTTTGGTGGCATCCCTCATTACATGAATAGAAATGATACTATTGAGGAAATTTTGTGAAAAATATTAAAATTCTACCTTCCTCCTCACCTTTGAGAAACATATACCTGAGAAACATAAAATTTATATACAGACAAGGGAAGTAATTTCCAGGTAAATCGTACTGCGTTATATTACTTTTGAAATACGTAGTTTAGTGAATGTAAACGAAAAAAACACATTTTTAATAAAAAGAGGTTGACATGGTCTCTCATATATTCGCATAACAATGTAACGTAATCAATTAATATATCTACCTTCGTCAGTGGACACAACTGTATCAGCTTCACATACACTGAAACAGACATTCATACACTTGTGTGACTGTTTAATCACTTGATTCGGCTAATATACTACCCAAAAGTAGTTAAAGGATACCCGACTTCTTTCATATGACGACGTCATATAGGTGGAATATTGCTTTGAGTGACGTTAAACAATAACCAAACAAACAAACTTCTGTATGACTATAGTTTATCTGTCATGTCTTTTGAGTAGCATATATGTTATCACTATTACTAATTATATTATTTGGTTTTAAGTTTGCACCATGTTGACTTTTGCACTTGCAAAATCAGATGTGCATGTGTATTTCTATCATCATTCCAATACATATATAGTGACACCCTGTTAAACCGGACGGAATTGTTCCTTGTGAAACCGTCCGGAGTAACGTTTTTTCGGAATACCGGAACACTGGTAGGTAGAAGTGTCCTTTTTTAACTGACACTTATTGTTTGACAAAACCAACATCTGGATTAACGGGTCCGGATTAGCGAGCTGTCACGGTACAAGTTTATCTCGTCAACACACACAGTTGTAGGACCGAAAGCTCAATATATATTAATCAATACAATATATTAATAATAACAATATATATTTAATATTTATTCCGATGATAATCACATCAAACTTTGCTCGGTAACCTTTCATATCTTGTCTCTGTTTTTTGACGTGTTATGGGCTGAATGTGTTCCTCTGTGGTCAATATGTCCACACCAACGAATGATGTGTACTTTGAAACCACATTGCCAGCCATACTTGCAGTAACTATCTCATTTTTCTTCGCCCCGTCGAACTCTGTAAAATAAGTTATACGTATACATAGATGAACGTTTTTCGATTCTGACAAGGATATATATTGCATACATACAATGAAGTGATTACCAAAAACAGGTTCGATAGAGAATACATCTGACATAAAATACTAATTGTGCTTTATATACACAGCAGAGATGACGAGAAATGAGACCCCAGAAAGAGGTCCAGGCAGACGAACATCTCCATAGTGGGCGAAGGAAGTTGCCCGTGGAAGATCTCGAAAGCACTCAGTCATTCGTGAGCGCTCCACACTGGCGGCGACTGTTATGTTGTGATAAATGGTCACTTGGAAGCGAGTGTGTATCTTGCTAAGATAAAAAAATATATTCCGAGGTGTGTAGTGTTGTGTTTGTGATGTGATGTGTGGTGTGTGGTGTATAGTATTGTGTTTGTGATGTGATGTGATGTGATGTGATGTGATGTGATGTGATGTGTGGTGTGGTGTGGTGTGGTGTGGTGTGGTGTGGTGTGGTGTGGTGTGGTGTGGTGTGGTGTGAGGTAAGGTGTGAAGTGTGTAGTGTTTGTGATGTGATGTGTGGTGTGAGGTGTGTATTATTGTGTTTGTGATGTGATGTGTAGTGATGTGTGTAGTGTTGTGTTTGTGATGTGATGTGTGGTGAGGTGTGTAGTGTTTGTGGTGTGATGTGTGGTGTGGTGTGAAGTGTGGTGTGGTGTGGTGTGGTGTGGTGTGGTGTGAGGTGTGTAGTCATGTGTTTGTGATGTGATGTGTGGTGATGTGTGTAGTGTTCGTGGTGTGAAGTTGGGTGTGTAGTGTTTGTGGTGTGATGTGTGGTGTGGTGTGGTGTGGTGTGGTGTGGTGAGGTGTGTAGTGTTGTGTTTGTGATGTGATGTGTGGTGTGAGGTGTATATTGTTTGTGATCTGATGTGAGGTGTGCTGTGGTGTTGTGTGGGATGTGTAGTGTGTGTGGTGTGATGTATGGTGTGATGTGTATATTGTTTGTGATCGGATGTGAGGTGTGGTGTGGTGTGGTGTGGTGTGAGGTGTGTAATGTTTGTGGTGTGATGTATGGTGTGATGTGAAGTGTGCAGTGTGCTGTGTTTGTGGTGTGATGTGTGGTGTGGTGTGGTGTGCAGTGTTTGTGGTGTGATGTGTGGTGTGGTGTGAAGTGCAGTGTTTTTTTTGTTGTAAGGTGTGAGGTGTGTAGTGTCTGTGATGTATGGTATGATGTGAAATGTGCAGTGTGTTGTGTTTGCGGTGTGATGTGTGGTGTGGTGTGGTGTGGTGTGGTGTGGTGTGGTGTGGTGTGGTGTGGTGTGGTGTGGTGAGGTGTGTAGTGTTTGTGGCGTGATGTGTGGTGCGGTGGATGTGCAGTGTGTTGTTTGTGGTGTGATGTGGTGTGAGATGTGTTGTGTTTGTGTGTGATGTGTGTTTTGATGTGAAGTGTCAGGAGTGTTGCGTTTGTGGTGTAATTAGTAGTGTGATGTGATGTGCGATGTGGTATGAGGTGTGCAGTAGGTGGTATTTGTGTTTGTTAGGTGGTGTGATGTTTAGTCTGTTGGTACTGTGTGTGCATAAACTGGGTGTTGTGTTTGTGGTGTGAACTGTGTGATGTGTTTGTTGTGTGGCGTGGTGTGATGTTTAGTGTCGTCAGAACTGTGTGGTGTGAACAGTTTGTTGTGAACTGTATGTTGTGCAGTGTGGTGTGAACTGTATGGTGTGATGTTTAGTGCCATGTAAACGGTGTGGTGTGAACTGTTTGTTGTGAACTTTATGTTGTGTAGTGCCGTCTGAACAGTGTGGTGTAAACTGTATGTTGTGCAGTGTGGTGTGAACTGTATGGTGTGATGTTTAGTGCCATGTAAACGGTGTGGTGTGAACTGTTTGTTGTGAACTTTATGTTGTGTAGTGCCGTCTGAACAGTGTGGTGTAAATTGTATGTTGTGCAGTGTGGTGTGAACGGTATGGTGTGATGTTTAGTGCCATGTGAACAGTGTGGTGTGAACTATTTGTTATGAACTTTATGTTGTGAACTGCGTGCATGAGGTATGTGAACTGTGTGTTTCATGTAGTATCCCTTTACCTTTGTCGATAACCTCCAGGTGTTTGATGAGGGCTTTAATGGCCATCCTGTGCATGTAGCTTTCAGACGTTGTCACGGTGTCTCTGTGGACATCAAACGTAATCGTGTGCGTGAACGCCTTCTCCCCTACCTTACCAGAGACTCTGGCAGTTCCGATAGGTGGTGTGTGATCATCAATCTGTATAGAGGATGTGAGTGAATGAGTGAATATGTTGGGTTTCACAACGCTTTGCACACTACTTCCGTTGTATCACAGGGTATCAGCTGATATGGGAGGAAAGTGATGCAGGTCTTACACTTTCACCATGATAGTGAAACCCACGGGTGAAACCCACCCAACAAACCAAGAATCACAGTAAGGGCGACTCCCAATGAGTGTGAGTATGTGTCAGCGTACCCGATAGTAAGAGACGTTGTCATATCTTGACCCATCCTCGATTACCAAGGGTATTATTTTTTCATTCTATTAAAACAATACCCTGGACACATTCGATAACAACACTCCGGGAGTGACGGAACCATTTCTCTTATTACATACTTAACACAGAATGTCACTCTCTTCTTTCAAGAGATTTATGTGTCTGGACAGTTATTTATTAAGCGTCGTGTCATTCACATCGAGCTTAAAAGGCAGCAATGGTAGCAAATGGGTTGACGCTATTTAAAACGAATAGACTAGTTATATAATACACTGGAAAACATGGATGGTCTGACATACACTCGATGATTTACAAGCCGCTGTAATATAAATGTAAGATTGCTGACAACGGCGTTAAACAACATTCACTCACTCAAGACCTTTCACAAACAAAAATACCGAAGTTCTGTCATATTATTATACTATTACATGCTACTGGTATGTTCATACAGCTTGAACAGGGGCGATGCGGTAGCCTAATGGTTAAAGCGTTAGCTCGGCACACCGAACACCCGGGATCGATTCCAAATAAGGGTAAATTGTGTGAAGCCCACTTCTTGTGTCCCCATCGTGATATTGGTTGAATATTGCTCACTATTCATACTCACTGTTAAAAATTCCCTATCGACTTCCACAATCAACACAAGGTCTCCTTAGTCTGAATCACTGCAGCAACATAGTGACAACAATATAATACATTAACACAGGCCTTCACCTGTCTTACCTCCCCATCAACAATAGCATATACAGTGTATATCTCTCCATTGAACATCACGGGAATATCTCTCGGAAGTCTCCATGCCACTTTAAGGCCCTCGGGAAGGTCAAATGTGAGGTCAAGGTCGGTTACGACGGGATGTAAAGCGTGCCTCAACAGCTTCATCACCTTCGAACAGAGGAATATATGTCAGCAGATAAATGATGGTAGTTCCAGTATCTATTCCTGGTTAAAGGTCACGTATTAAAACTCATATCAAATTGCTAATAACTGGCACACAGGTGGCCCAGTCGTCAAAGACGCCAATTTTTGCTGTGCAGAGGTGTGTCCCTGGATACGCCACAAACGACCTATGATCGTAGGTTCAAATCCCGGTTCGCCCCGATTATGTTTCCAGATTTATCAGCACTATACCCGAGCTCGTGTGTGTCACCCATGTGGTAAACGTCTGAGACCTGCGTCATTTCGGCTTTCCTCCCACAGTAAGCTAACACGCCGTGATATAAATGATGTACTGGCGTTAAACTAACTAACTCACTCACTCACAGATCTTCACTCCATAACATAACGAGTAAAAGACTCGCTGACATTATTAGGTGCTGGTGATGAAATTAATTCAATACATTTGAGGAAGCGTAAAGTAAACTTGAAGCGGACATCTTTTCCAGAAATGTTCATCAATTTCATAAAATTATATACGGAAATTACCTTCTTATGAAGATTATCAGCGTCTCTGACAAACTCCACCAACCCACCTCCGGCCTTGGCAACATTCCGTACCAGCGATGTCGACACACCAGCACCGATACCCACTGTGAACACCCTGGGATGAATGCAGTGTTAACACTTGTATACAATCAGCCACTGTTCCTGATAATTCCTTATAGATATATAACACTTTAACATGGCTTTCTGTGAAGGTGGAGAAAACGTGGCCCTGTCGTCAGAGGCGCCGGAATTTCCAGAGTTGCGTCCCTTGGTGATGCCAAAATATAAAGCCATGCGCCACCTTCACTCCCATACCACGCTAACACTCCCTGATATAACTGAGATACTGTTCAAAGCGGAGTTAAACCGGAGTAAAATATATATGTCCAACCTGATATGTGATTTATTGAAACATTTCAGCAGCTGTATAATATATACTTATTCATTTTATTTAACGCTTTGACAATATCAAGATGTATTTAAAGGTCTGTTGTAATATTTAGTTGAAGGATATATGATTTCACAGAAAACTACTCACTTGCACGATGTAGCTTTCCTCTTTACCAAGGACACTATGCGATTAGTGCTGGAGATATTCCCATCAGTCAGAAGGAATACCTGCAGGGGAAAACCGCTAATAACACCCAACAAGCGTTATATCATAGAATCCGAGTATATCAAGTCCAACAAGAAGTTTTAATGTTCGTATGAGAAGATTATGCTGGATGAATTCCTTAAGTTAACTTCAATAACAATTGCAATTAAGAGTCTGGCTACTCGTGTACCTAATATAGAACAATGGGTCGATCATTTTAAAGATGCGTTTGACAACCCAACAGATGAGGATACGGTTATAACCTATACGACTGTAATGATACTCATGAAGATATGTCTTGCTATATTCTGGACTCCCCCATTTCACAAGAGGAGGTGCTATGTGCTAGTAACTCTTTGAAATTAGGTAAATCCGCAGGAAATGACCACGTCATTTCAGAATTTTTTAAACATGCCAATGATATTTTTGTCCCGCATCTTACAGTGCTGTTAATATGTTGTTTGATAACGCCCACTTTCCTGAATCTTGGTCTTTGGGAGTCATTGTTCCGATTCATAAGCGAGGAGACATCCATTCCCCATGCAATTATAGGGGAATAGAATCTTCGCGTCTTGGTGTGAGGTCTATGGTAAAATTGTAGATTCCTAGGCTGGTTTTCGTCATGATTATTCCACCATAGATAATATTTTTATATTACAGTCTATTATCCAGAGATATATCAGTAAACGTAAGGGTAGGGATATGGTTTGTTTGACGATTTTGCTAAAGCCTTTGACAGTGTTAACCGGATGATGTTATGGTCAGTACTAGTTGCAAAATTATTAAAGCTATTTATACAACTGTTAAGGCTAGCGTTAGGTTTAAACACTCATTTGAAATATTCCAGTGGCCAGAAGGACTACGCCAGGGTTGTGTATTAAGACACCTTCTATTTTCGATGTTCGTTAACGAACTAGATGGTGAGTTTGTACAGAACTCCGGACCTGGGATACAACTTCATCCTGATATTACAGAGATATTCCCGTTACTGTTTGCAGACGATATTATTCTCATCTCAGATACGATGGTGAACTTCAGAAGCATATAGGTGTTCTAGAAAAAGTATTGTAATGAATATGATTTAGATGTCAATTTGGATAAGACTAAAGTGGTTGTTTTAAGAAATGTGGAGTGTTGTCAAGAAAAGAGATTTGGTACTATAAAGCTTTAAAGTTGGAGTGTGTATCTTCCTGTAAGTATTTGGGCGTTTCTTTTTGCAAGAGCTTTCTAGGTGTCAAATCGTCAACACCCAACAACATGGTTCGAGGTGAATGTGGGCGTTATTGGTTATTGGATAAAGTTATTGAGTATGTCCGATTGTCGCTATTCACAGAAATGATATTATACGATGCTTCAGGCAGAAGGTCATGGTAAAATTAATTCGGTCTTAAAATGTAAATCTTTTTAGATTGGGATTTGGCTCTGTTTGGGAATACCAGTATATATGTCATCCTCAATCATATAAGTCAGAATTTATGTCAAGTCTGGAATTTTGTTATGAACAGGATTGGCATAGTCTTCTTGAAAAGGGTTGTAAATCTTTCTCTTATTCTCTGTTCAAGGTATCGTTTGATACAGTATTGTATCTTAGCTGTGTGACCGTCAATAAATTTAGAGTGGCGCTCTCTCGGTTTAGATGATTTTCGCATTTAGCTATGTGTTAAAACTGGGAGATACGCTAATATCCCACGTAACAGAAGACTATGTTGTGTTTGTAATGCTGGGTATATGGGGGACGAGTATAATCGCATGTGAGTTTGTCACGGTTATAACACGTTACGGGTGGATCACTTACCAAAGAAATATTGTGAATATCCGATCAAACACAAATGTAATATCATTATGTCTTCAACTGACTGTAATTTAATTAAAAATCTAGCTATCTCTATCTATCAAGCGATGTCACTTCGCAATACATTATTGTCAGAACTATAAGATCTGTGTACACCACATCCATTATAATACAAATGTAACCATGGGCCGATGTCCTACGCTTACGAAATAAACAGAATTGAACATTCCATTGTAACAACGACGATGATAATGATGATGATAATTGCTGTTGATAGATGATGATAATGATGGTTGTTGATAGATGATGATGATAATGATGGTGATGATAGATGATGATAAAGGATGATGAAGATAAAATATATGATGACGATAAAGATGACGATAATGACGATACACTGTCAGCAAACAACAAAGGCCTACCTGTCGTGTGTAGCCAGGGATTTCCTCTCTCTCTAACACGAAGCGTAATGGGTTCAGAAACTCACTTCCTCCCATATCTGCCCTCAGATCCTCCTGGAGCTCCATGGCTTTCTTCAGGGAAGCTGGACCGTAACGCTCGCTCCCCCTTTAAAACGTTGACGTGTTTTAACACATATATTCTCTATGGTAAAAGACGTTCATTGGAGAACCCCGGGGTAGGGGGTTCCGCCACACCATCCCTTTAAAAAATACCTACATGACACCTTCGTATTCTTAAACAAAACTTCACATACATTTTCACACCCACTAGTTAGCAAATAAAGCATTGTGGGTATGAAACACGAAATTATATTTCTGTTTAGAATATAAGTGTAAGCATTTCTTATTATGCTAAGACGCTCCTCTATCCCATCCCTACTGAAGTTATCAAACCTAAATATTCTTGATTAAATAAGAAATTATGATTCTGTTTATGATTATGATTACTTTGTTTTTCACATTATGCTGAATAATTATTATTAGGAAGCTCCATTACCTGGGGAAAAGAGGAGAAAACCCTGAACCAAAACTGATGACGTTGAAGTAGCAGTCTGACGGAAGACTTTTCAGGAAGCACAGCAGAGTCTCTTGGGTTCTTCGTATGGGTTTGCCATTCATGCTGCCTGTTTTGGAAAGAATTTTTGGCCTCAACAGCACTCAGTTAAGTGCCCATATTTGTGCGATGATTTGCCCAGTGTTTTTTTGTTTGTTTGTTTTTGTTTAACGCCGCACTCAAAAATATTCCAGCTATATGACGACGGTCTGTAAATAATCAAGTCTGTACCAGACAATCCAGTAATTGACATTATGAACATCGATCAACGCAAATGGGATACGATGATATGCATCACCCTGACCACCCGATCGCGTTAGTTGCCTCTCACGACAAGCAATGGTTGCTGGAGATCAATTCTAACCCAGTTTTCCACTGGTCCGTTTTAATATAGTGTGATACAATACCAACAAGCACATCCATTTGAGTTACATGTACATATCTTACAATGAACATGTATTTCTTTATGGTTAGCCAAGTCATATAAGGCGCCGAACGTCGCTGTGCTTAGTTACCTCCCTTTGTTGTGTCAGTATCCGCCAGATTATCCTGATTAGTATTCCTGGTTTATCAGCACGTGAAGGTGGATTTCATCAATGTCATCTCATTAATCTGACACGCCGTGATATAACTGAAATACTCTTCAAAACGGCGTAAAACCAGAATCGGTCACATTTATGGCTTGGAAAACAATATTATCCAAAATAACTATTCTCCACCATCATACGCCTTTGTAATGGTGTTACATAAACCGCCAACCTTCTTAGAGAGCAGCTTGTGTCTACATGGTGATTCTACAAACGTATATGACAGAAGTACGTACCCGATCTGTCAAGGATGAAGATAAACTCAGCGTTCACAGGCCCCGAGATGACATTTGGGTAGAAGGACAGCATCAGTATGTCTTTCTGAAGGAGTGATGAGGATGAACCTACATACGACAACATAAACGAAGAACTATTGGACATATTCATAACCACTCTGCTATTTCTTCTGCTGCCTAAGTTATGAATTGTCTACTGAAAACGTGTACCTTTTATATTTAGTTGTTCAACTCCGCACTTAGTAATCTTCCAGCTACATTGCGGTGACTTGTAGACAGTCGAGACTGGAGCAGACAAACCAGTGATTAATATAATGATAACGCCCTTCGCGGTCGATAACACGTTTGTTTGTTTTTGTTTGTTGTTTAACGCCGCACTCAGCATTAATCCAGCTGTATGACGGCGGTCTGTAAATAATCGAGTCTGGACCAGACAATCCAGTGATTGATATCATGAGCATCTATCCACGCAGTTGGAACCGATGACATGCATCAACCAAGTCAGCGAGCCTGACCAACCGATCCCGTTAGTCGCCTCTTAAGACAAGCACAGTCGTCCTTTACGACAAGCATGGGTTGCGGAAGACCTGTTCTACCCCGGATCTTCACGGGTCTCGATAACACGTAATCAACCTGACTGTTGGGGACCTGTTCTAACCCGGATTCTACACGGGTGTGTGTTACTTTGAAGTTTGAAGACTCCAACTGCATCTTATATTTTATACCAACAACACAATCAGTGGCGGCTGTGCTTTCAGCGTTTAAACAGCGAGATACCCCTAACCATTCGTCAATTACTTGTATGCACTGAAATCCCGTTAATCCAGACCCTATCATAACCAGTGACTCTCCGAATAATAATAAAAGATTAAAAATCATGTCCCATGTCCATAATCAAGTTACATCTGTTTTACATATGTTGACGTCCTCAACAGTAATCGCCCGTTATAAGGGGTTACCTAACTAAAGCGATTCCGACTAGTGGGGTTTGCTGTTTGGTGATGGGACGCCGGTACCTTTGTTTCCTTTCTCCAAGGATGTCTGGATGCCATAGTCTTCTCCATACAGAATGTTGAACGATAAATTATGTGTTGAACTGAATGATTCAGCGAGATTTATCTGAAATGACACGTCATTCACACATTGACGCCAGAGTGACATTTAAGAGTGATAAATATACGTTCGGTATATCCGCCAATATAACTACGGTTTCGTCAGGAAACCTCCGTTAGAATCGGACGTTTCGTGTACGAAGCCGTTGGTGTACTGGTCAATGCACCTCGAACTGTATGGAGGGTGATTAATATTTATTTGCTTTCGCCGGTTCATGTTTTGATAAAGCTAACACAACTGGACAGAAAACATTACCAACATAAATGTTTAAAACAAATAGTTTCCAAATACTTATCCTCGATTCAGTAATGTTATGACTTTAATGTTAACTTACGTACATTATCTAACATGGTAATTTGAAAAGGCGCTGGTTAGGCATATATCTACACCTGTAGATGAAAAAAAGGGATGTCCAGTTACACCTTCTGCTCAGAAAAACAACATGATTCCGACAGCCGAAAAGGGTACAAAGTTTGGATAGGCATTTGGAAGTTGGAAGAAGACGAAGAAATGAAATGGACAACAACAAGTTTGTTTGTTTGTTGTTTAACGCTGAACTCAGCATACGCAATTGTAGCACCGAACAGCTCATATACTGTATAAATATACCACCAAGGTGTTGATGTCTTCATAAAATAGCCGCTCGTTCTGTAGCACATTCTTTTTTGCGTGTCCATCTTAATGTGCTAAGGACAAATTTCGCCCCGTTGCACCACAACACAGTGAAACAATAATCACACCTGTGCAATCGCATAGTGTAAAGAATGATATAAGTAAAACTCATTTAAGGTTTCTTTCCCCGTATCTTTATTTTATATGTAACTGAAAACATGTTGTATGCATGCATGTCCATTATTACAAAATAGTATCCTGTATAAATTTTCCAACGATCCACGTTTCGTTTTGTTTACAACTTGATAAACTCATATTGAAATGCAAACTCCGAAATGGAATTATCTGATTGCATGTTGTGTATCTCTCACGTGGCATTGTTACTTGACAACTATCTCTATTGCTTCCTCTTATTCTCTGCGTCATACGACTCTGGACAATCTTGACAAACATACATTGTCCTTATGACAAGTTATCATTCGTATCTTAGACATGTGTCAAATTCAGATCAACGTCATACATGGATATTGATAATGTGACAATAAAGGAGGGATGCATAATCATACGCCAGGTTACATAAGTCAATACTATTTGATATTTGGATTGTCTTAGAGCATATTCGTGCAGCTTAAATTCCTTTGTCAATAATCGTGTTCAGGGTGCACCTTATGATGGGGTGTGCCTCTGTACATACCGTCATGGTCTTGACGATTCCACCGTCCACTGCCGTGGTCAGTCTATCTGTAATGGACCACACTCTGGCTATCTCGTGCTTAAATACAACTGTGCCACGGAAGGTCAGACTGTATCCCGATGCATTCACACCAGAGAGAGTCGCATCTTCATCTGAACCATCATCTGCAGCAACACAACACTGACATCAGATTTACGCCGGTTTCAGCAATATTCCTTGAGTACACCACGAATGGCTTTCACGTTGTACCCATGTGGGGAATAGAACCCGGCTATTCGGCGTGAAGAACCAATGCTTTAACCACTAGGCTACCTCAACGTCAAAGTATGTAGCCGTCACTGCGTGTGGCTGTAATTGTTGAAAAATAAGGAGCCCTCTTCCTAATATTTTGTGAATGAGAGACATGTTAGACGATTAGCAACAAAGTTTTATTACTTTCTTGATTATTTAGGTCTATGAACGTAAATTTAAAGGCACATTTTCGCACTTTTAGTCTGATTTTGAGGTTATGCTGAAAAGTACCATAAGTACAAATAATCATAAAGGTTTAACATTGCGTGAAATAATGTTTACATTCTTCGGTGGAAGTTTGTATTTTGTAATATTGAACAAATCCCAAACAGAAATCAACCCATAAGTTAATTATGTCAGTTAAGGTTATTTTGCATTTGGAAGTGGCTCTGTTTTCGTAACCCGTCTTAACGGCAAACAGAAGCCATTCGTGATTTATTTTCTGAAAAGGCCACATCAAGAAACAATCACTTTCTTATTCATTATGAATAAATTTACACAGTACATTATATGCATTTGTGAACTTATGTTCGACTGGTGAAATCGAAATAAAAAAATAAATACGAAAATCGAAATCGAACAACCTAACCAAAAACAAAACTTGATGATCTTTTGATTGTGCCTTACCTTCCTTGCTGGGATTATATCTGGGATTGAGAACCGTCGGCAGAACAAACTTGAGAGACCCATCAGTCTCCTGGGCCAGCTCCGTAACGAAGGAAAACTGGAGTTTGGCGTCCGAGTCTGGGGGGAGATTACCCAGCTTGCACCTGAAGATGTCTCCTGAAGCATCATGTTCCTCCATCAACACCGCAGATCCACCAGCAGCTACAGCTTTTGTGTAGGTTTCCCGAGCCTTTGAGGAGCATGTTAGGTAGAGGTGGGTGTAATTTTATGTTTACTGACAAGTGTGATTTAGTGATTATTGTTCTACAATGCGGTCAGCAATATTTGAGCTATTTCGGCCTGTATACAATCAGCGTTTGACTGCAAGATCAACTAGCCATGTTGATAGTGCACGGAGTCAACAGGTCCTAAATTGTAATCCCCCAAACCTCATTAGTCATCTATTACAACAAGGATGGGGCAGTTGGACATGTTCCGACCTTGAATCCCGACGGAGACTTTCGGACAAGATTGTGTTTTGTTACGTTGGTTTCCACTCTCACGCTCATATAAGCAATTTTTCAGCAACCATACCATACCATGTACGTCGGCCTGTAAATAATCGAGTCTGGGCCACCGGAATACCCTGTGGGCTAGGAACAATGGAATCCCCATGACATCATATGCTACTACAGAAGATACTGGCATAAAGTGACATCTGGTTGACGTGAATCTCTCAGGACACGTATCGAGGCATCCATACACGAAGAATAGGCTGCACACGGTGGACCTATCTAGGACGTGTCAAGCCTACGCTTTAACCTCTAGGCTACATCGATACGCATATGCTTTGACCAACATTTTACATCGTCTCAAACGTTATATCCAATTAAAAGATTTTGTGTCAGTACAACTGCACCGCGGTGGTTTGTAAAGCATCTGGACCCATACAAACAATTGACCATGATCACCGATCCACGCCGCATGGGATACATTGACACAAGGTCGCTTTGTATGACAACCATAGGTTGATGGCGCCAGTTCTAACCGGGAATTCCAGTGATGGTCGAGTTATACATCATAATGACAATGATTATGTTTATTTTGTGCTCACCTGTTCTTTTTCCTGAATCTTAGCTTCGTAATGTCTGTCGTCGATGTCGGCCACAAGTTTGTAGACCACGCTGTTGTCGTCCATTGGGAAGACAAAGGCCACGTCCAACGTGCTGTCTTGGACATTGCGGTAGTTGATACACGCGTCGACGTTAGCCAGGAAGCCTTGAACACTCACGGATACGTCAACACTCGTCAGAGGCACTGAAACATTATTGTGAGCCAGCGTGTTTGGTTACTCCATCACTTTATAAGGTTTGCACATACCTCAGTGAACCAACACAATGCACAGTAAATCCTTAATTAATTTCCCAACAATACTACTGCAGGTTGGGGTAGTTGTAGCATTACGAAGTCCGGACAAATAAGGTTGCACAATACTGTATTCCTCAGTGAAGGATGAAACACGACCGCGGGCTCAAGGGATTGTAAATCCCTAGGTCAGAGTGTCTGGGGAAAGGCATCCGGGGACGCTGGATCGTCGGTTAAAACCCTGACGAGGTAAAGACGCTCTTTTCGAGGGTACACAGTCCCAACGATAACCGAGGAGCGTTGTGATACATAGTTTAGACACTGGGACTAATTTAAGGAAAATTAAATATGTCAATGTTGGATGAAAAGAATAATGTCTTTATTCCTCCTCATGGTCGTGTAGACCGACACTTTGTCGCCTTGTCACATAATATAAATTAAACTATCTTACACAGAATTTCGCAGTTTCTTAACTTCCATACAAATTTGTAACAATTACAGAAATATACTTTGGAAAATAGTTTGCTGCACAGTTTTGTTAAGACCAGAATTCGATGTGCACCGTGTGGGCGATGCATTCAGCGCATCTCATGTTTGAACACGTTTATCCTATTGTGATGTGAAACTTCTAATTGACCAATTCTAATATTTTCCGCCATTGGATAATTGAATAAAAGCAGACATTAGTTTACAGGTTAGTGCTAAACATAACTCTACTCTACTCCTTCGTGGTCTAGTGGAGAGTGTCCGCCCGTAGAGCGAAAGGTCCGAGGTTCGATCCCCGGTCGTGTCATGCCCAAAGACGTTAAAAGATGGTACATGTTGTTAATATCCTGTCCGGCGCTCAGCGGTAAGGGGCTAAAACAAGGACTGGTCGGCTCGGAGTATACTGTGTCTGAGTGGGGTCTATAAAATCGGCATTAGTCCGGACCAGTTCAAGCAGCCACATGCGCACACACGTACATGTACGTCGCTATATAAGTGCAGTAATGTTGGACGCGAAGTTAAACCCCATTTCACCTCACCTGAAGCAATGTTCTTCGTGTAACTACATGTAAATAACGCTTATCAAATAAGACATTGTTTTGTGACGTGACCTACAACCTACAGTTGTTTAATTTGGGTTTCCTTGTCACAGCGTGTCCGCTTTATGGGGAAGGTAAAGCTGCGTTTTCCTGATACACACACAAACGAGTATGGCGATGGCAAACCAAGGATCTTAATCGGAGGGTTTCGGAGGGATCCCAGAACCAGTGGGAACCAGATTGCGGTGAGTTGATTGTGACGTCTATGAACTACTGTTATATTGTATTGTTTGGTACATCAAGATAATATGAGGCAGAGAGTTATTTTGCAACTACTATTGCTGTAGTCATTATTCTTTTGCATCAGGCATTGCTAATGATGAGTATTTGAGTTGAATACTTAATGTAATTAATACCTTATATATAATTTTTTTTTATAAACAATCATAATTTTTTGGCATAAGTTATTGCTAATGGTGAGTCTTTAATTCAATACTTAAAGTAGTTTAGTTCTTATATAACACATTAACAATTTTCAGTCATGCATCACCCGTTGGGGATATTACTGTTTAATAAACGTACAGCTGTGTTGTATATTGTGTCACCATAACATCACGTGCGGATTTAACTATTTTGATCATCTGTTGATCATTCAAAATAATGAAAGCGTCGGTAGCACATTGCAACTGTACACAACATTTACTCTGCTCCCAGACAGATATTCTACTCCTGATATACTCTACTAAGTTTCGCGAAACTCCTGGGTTAAACCGAAATAAGTTAGTATCTTACTGAACATGTATCTCGAAACCCACTGTATTGACATGTTTTATTTGAATTTGCTTTTACAGTCACCTCTGAGCATTGAGGGACTCGCCAACAAATACGTTTGAAGTAGACGTTTTGTGGACTCGCACTCTTGTATAGCAGTATTGCAAGCATTGGAACATCATTAAGGTTCAGAGCATTACTGACAAACAAAACATTATGTCGAATCATTAAAACATTCATCGCCACATCAACTTACGACCTTGAACTTCATTTTGCAAATGAGAGTAGTCCCCCTTGCACCAAATGGATAAATCTCGTCCTCATGCCAACCGATGCAATCCCCTGTCTTTGGTGCACCGTAATTGGTATTGCTTAAATTTAATTACAATCAATTTCATAACACTACTACCTGCTGACTCGTATACAATCGCATAGCCAACATGACACGATTGATTGACTCGAAGAGACGATCGTCGCCTACACTGAACCGAATTTGAGATTATGCAGCTTGATGTTTCCGTTGAATGGGAATTAGTCTTACTTGGTGACCACTGTGTTATTAAAGTGAGTGAGTGAGTGAGTGAGTGAGTGAGTGAGTGAGTGAGTGAGTTGGGTATGACGCTGCTTTTAACAGTATTCCAGTTATATCACGACGTGTGGGAGGAAAGCTCGAAATGATGCAGGTCTTAGACGTTTACCAGTTCGGTGAAACCCACGAACACGGGTATGGTGCTGACAAACCTAGAAACATAATCGGGACGAACCGGGATTCGATCCTACAATCATAGGTTTCTGGCGTGCCAAAGGGACACAACTCTGCACAGCGACAGTATACATGTGGCGACTCCAACCCGAGACTGAGCGAACCGACAAAGGGACATATTTCTTGAAAAGAAGCGTCTTTTAAAATTCTATTTTCGCAGGTTCGCGTTTTACCCAACTGGTATAGATAGATAGATAGATAGAGAGATAGATAGATAGAAAGATCGAAAGAAAGAAAGATAGACAGATAGACAGATTGATAGATATCGTGTAAATATACAATCATAATATAATTGCTGCAGTGTTAACATAAAAGTATCTATATTTACTTATGACGTCGTAAAGTAACCTTACCACGGCAACGGAAACACTGTTCAGTCAGACCATGAAGACTGACCGAGACTTGATACGGTCCATTACTCACCTGTTCGTCCTTGTTCTCCGATCACCAGACCAGAGAGGATCGCCATGTTCCGTATATCCCCCACACTACAGTCATACTGACCCTAGAACACTACTAACCCGCAACTACCGATCCAGCAGTGTGTATACCAACGCCTTTATTTCCGAACACACTGATGAGTGACTGAATACAAAGGGGTGCTTTCAGTGTTATACTGAGGCGCGGAATATGCTCGCGTGGTGAATAGTAAGATTTTAAAAAGGAATGTGGAGCAATTTCTTTGCCTATTCATCCAGCTCATTCATTGAAGGGTAAATTGTTAGAAAGTTATAGTGAATGTTCACAGATTATATTGTTCAGAAAGATATGCGGTGTGTGTATATTCATTGGCTTGTAAACAGGTGGCTGGTTTAATATTCAATGCGAGACCTTCTGATTATGCACATACTGTGAGTGAATGAGTTTCAGTTAACGTCACTTTGAGTCGTATCATGAGTATGTCAGTTATATCACAGCATGTCAAGGGGTATTGGCGTCCTCATCGTATAAGGCGCCGCATTCACTGCAGAGTTGCGTCCCTTGTGCGTACCAGAAACCTATGGTCGGGAGTTCGAATTCCAGTTTTTTCTTTGCCAACACTATACCCGTGTTTGTTGATGTCACCAATGACCGCCTCCGTGGTCTAGTGGTAGAGCGTCCGCCTGGAGAGGGGAAGGTCCGGGGTTCGATCCCCGGCCGCGTCATACCAAAAGACGTTAAAAGATGGTACTTGTTGTTACCCTGTCTGGCGCTCGGCATTAAGGGGCTAAAACAAGGACTTGTCGGCTCGGAGTCAGTATACTGTGTCTGAGTGGGGTATTCATGTTAAACTGCGGCATGGTATCTCAGTGAGCTAGCACTATAAATCGGGATTAGTCCGGACTAGTACAAGGAGCCACACAAACACACACACGTATATGCATGTCGCTATATAAGTGCAATAATCTTGGACGCGACGTTAAACCCCATTTCACCTCACCTCACCTTGATGTCACCAAAGTGGTAGACGTCTCAGATCTGATTTCAGAATCACTTCCCTCGGTAAACTCAAATCACTAACTCCGACAATATCAAATGCATATGAAGAAGGTTTTTGGATATCTCTGAACCAGTAAAGCATCCAAATATGTATCAAATTATACTTGAGTTGACATTCCTCATGCAAAACAAATAAATTTCTCCAAGAACATGCTTTGCTCAACACTGTAATTCCTACGAGAAGGATGGGGATGAAGATGTTGAAGAGGCGACAAATCATTGCGCGTCATAATACCCCGACGGCGTGGGACGTTGCTCGTATCTATATATCCATTTCATTCAATTTGTTCCTATAACAAATCATCAATGTCAATAATCTGCTCCCAACTGCAGTAAAGCATACAGACATTTTTGTTTCCGATTTCTACAATAATTTGAGCTCTCCTATTATTATGTTGTTTTACGACGTAGTAATATCCCTGTTGTATCACTAAGGCCTAAAAGCAAGTTTGGACCATACAATCAGTGTTTGTGTTACGTGTCGATTCCCAAATTGAAAAAAAATATCTTTACGCAGAAATCTGTACGCAAACGAATTTAGTTTGCAACCAACAAACAACCAACAAATGATATACAATCAACAACTGCATTACACATTTAACTGGGTTTTCTAATCAATTCAAATTACTGCACAGCAGTTACAATGACGGTACGCTATATATTGGTTGTACAATATTCAATGGCAGTATCAAATACAAAATGTGATGGAAGTGCTGATATAAGAAAGTTCAGTGATAATAATATTCACCTCGCCGCAACAGTGGTCAAGCCTCCGAGACGGGCCTAGGCTGGGAATCCGGGGTGATAAGTGATCTTCACGCAAAAGCTGGTCTTGATGTAATGTGAGATGAAATGTCACATGAAATGTGTGATGCAATTTGAGATGAGACAGGAACGCGCCTGCTCCACTTTTATAGTCTAACCAGCTTCCAGCACTTTCCACACAGCGTTAGACCAGTCCAGTGTCACCAGAGTGAGTTGGGTTTAACGCCGCTTTTAACAGTATTCCAGTTATATCGCGGCGTGTCAGCTTAATGTGGGAGGAAAGCCCGAAGTGATGCAGGTCTCAGACGTTTACCACTTCGGTGAAACGAATGAGCACGGGTGTCAGTGTCACCAGAACATCAAAGAATATCCCACATGTTTCTATAAGTCTTGACATCCATCCATGCTATTCCGGGAGTTTAGAGATAATTCGAGCATCTAAATATGATAACTTCCTCGCCATTGCGTAAATTAAATAGTACTACATTCCTAACAATAAATCAATGTCCAAATACAATGCAATTAACTTCCACTGAATCACAACAGCAACAATGTAATACAGTTACAATGTTGCTTAACAATAAATAACACTGCCATATAACAGTAGTTAGCATGATTCCCACATCAGTGGCAATATAACAGTAACAGTGGACTTCGTACGTTTTCACATGAATATATGAACAAATGAAAATATAGCAACTTCACAAAAATGATCAAGACAAAATATATATCCGTACATCCCAATTATATAAGGTGGAAATGTTTTCGTGAAACCTTTTAGTTATATTTGTTTTATAATTATACAATAACATTTGTCAGTGAAAGTCGGAAGGAGGATCCGAACAATTTAACGTCTTTTCACAACACGCTAATTCAGCACATCCGCGGACAATTTTAGTGTCTAAAACCTGAGGACAAGGTTTTGATTAATAACCAGAAGAAACAAATTTTAAGTTACCAAGTAACCATGTAACCAAGTCACCAAGCGGATGCATTTGCTCTTACAACTAGTATGTAAGTTGCTTGGAACAGTTCAGTCTCAGAATCCCCACGTGGTCTGTGCATTGTTGTCAAATAACTATCATAACATGCTGACTCGTCAGGATGTCTTGGCAAACTATTCAGCACGCTAGTATTATCCATAATTGGATGATTAATTATCTTTTTGTTGTCCTTCATGAGTTGTTGAAAAAAAAATCAGTGGTTTGTCTGGTTCAGACTCGACTATTTACAGGCCTCAGTAGCTGATATATTGCCCACAGCTGCGTAAGAGAATATAAATAAAAGTAACAAAGCCATTCCAGAATTCATAACAAATCATACACATGCATTACAAGTACATTCAGCACATTGGCGAGTGGGCGCGCCTATCCATAAACATAAAGCAATACAACAGATATTAGCAGTTTCATCAAGGTACTAGACCCGGCTAGGTGAGTAAATTGACTGTGTCTGTACCTTTATTCCTTGATGGTGGAGTCATGTGTCCAGGGACAATCTGAATTGGAGGCCAAAATGAAAATAAATTATGCATAAATGCAATCTAACGAAAACATATTAAAATTGTCTGTGTGTTAGCATAGAGCAAGCAACATGTTCCTGGTACAAATAATGATTGTCCGTTTGTATTGCGAAAAATCACATTACCAACTCATCCTACCGGGTACCCATTCACTGCTGGGTGACCAGAGGCATATTCCGAACAAAGTCACTTGCCTGAGGGGACGCCACATGTGCTACGTGTGCTTCGGTCTGGGGCAGGACCGAAGCCCTGGAAACTCTCAGGAGTCCAGCTGCCGAACAGTCAACCACCCAACTGCTCTCCGCGACCGTTTTGTGACGGGAACACGTGCCACCAGTGTGGCTATACCAAATGATAAAATCAAGAGTGTGCACATGGCCCAGAGTTATCGTTTACTTTTCTTTTTATCAACTGATTGGAAACAGCGATTGAATCGAATGAAAAGAACTTTAAGCACCACCTCTCTTGAAACTATCAATGAAGCTGAAACTTGGCAGACCGGAAGGATATTAAACGGTAGTCACTTAATCAATACTGATTTTGTGGTATTCTTCAAATGTTGAGTCCCGATATTGCCTTCCTGATGACAAACAATGCATAACGTCATCATTAATTATTTGCGTCAATGCGTTGATTGGTTGGTTGGTTGTTTTACGCCGCATTCAGCAATATTCCAGCTATATGACGACGGTCTGTAAATAATCGTGTCTGGACCAGACAATCCAGTGATTGATATCATGAGCATCGATCCACGCAATTGGGATCGATGACATGCATATGACGTCACGTTGCTGTCGGACCTTCATGAACAATGACAACAAATGGTATGAAAAGTAGAAAGTATAACGCCAAATGAGATAATTACTGAAATTATATACCACTGATATCATTGTCTCTATGTTAAACATAGTAGATTTACAAGTGGTGATGTTTTTCCTTCAGGTATTATTGACAGTATCACGACCACAAGCTTTGATAATAGTGGTTTCATAAGTCTGTTAATTCCTGTTAATTTCATAATCATCAATACTTTGGTCGAGAGGTTAAGGACAAAAATTACGAAATTATTAGAACAATTTCCATTTTCTTGAGATTGTTTTCCCAATGAATTACTGTAAATGTACAGGATATCCAGTCTCGATTATCCCAAAACAGATTCCATTTGGCGTAAAAGGCAAATTAGCTATGAAATACGTGTCACATTTGAAATTGATGATCTAATTTCTGAACGGGTGTTCCAGGAACAGATATGTCAACACGAGCTGAAGAAGGGATGTTAGCTGGCTTCCAACTAAAACTGACTATGTTTGAAGATCTGGTGGTTCCATCGTGTTCCATCTCTCTGCTGTCCTCCTTTAAGTTCCGTGAAGTAAGAGATGACGACATCTATCTGTGTACATATCCTAAATCAGGTAAGAACCTTTGGTGAGACATAGTCAAACGTGGGTCCCTTGTTTTGACTTAACATGGCTTTGATCCATAATACCCAAATTAGTGGATGCGTGCCAACTCGGTATGGTATAGATACATTGTATGTAATAACGATTTCACAGGCATTGTTGACATCATGCAAAACATTTGATCAAACATGGCATTCGGGTCTCTTCATGAAATGTATAGAGAAATGTTAGGTTTCACAATTTACGGGTTAACTTTTTCAGTTCTTCTCTTAGTGATATTAAATCAAACAGTGTGGTCCCTTGTTTTGTTATAACTTGGCTTTGATCCACTTGTCCAAAAATAAGTGGATGGGTACCAAATCCGTATGGTACAGATACATTGTATATAATAACGA